AAATATTTTTATATTATATTTATTAAAATAAAAATATATAAAAATTATATAATATTATAATATTAAATATGGAGTCCAAAGCATATCTAGATGGTTAATTAGTTAAAATTATAAATTCTTCAAAACTTTTTAAATTATATCTATACTATCTAAAATACATCTGGATAGTTAATTTATAAAATTTATTGAAATAATATTAAATTAGGTCACTCAAATTAAATCTGTGCTAGCTAGATTAAAGATAAATAGATTTATTAAAAAATTTTATATTTTTCTTACATATTTTTATTTTAATAAATGTAAAATAAAAGTAAAAAGCTTAAATTTAAACTATACAGATCTTATCAGGGGTGATAAATACTATGATATTTATCCTTTACCAAGCAAAAATAATAGTTCAAATTTAATATTATAATTTTTATATATTTTTATTTTAATAAATATAAAATAAAAATATTAAAAAATAATTTTAAATCAATGACAAAGATTATTTAAAAAAAAATGAATGGTCTAGATCATCCCTAAGGATGCCCAATGGGCTTCCTAATTATGGCCACCCCCATTCTCTTTGGTAACCACCTCGCGCAAGTAGTGTTTTGAGACTTAAATCGATTCAGACGGTTGGACTGCCATCAATATGTAAAAGAGATTCGGTTTGATTCATAACCCATTTTAGTTATCAACTTGTTTTGAACCATTTTAAACCGAATGATTTTGACAAACTCAAAATTGTTAACCTAAAATCACAACGATTAGATTGTTTATCCTATTCACCCTTATTGAAATAATAAAGTTTTTTATTCAATTTAAAAATATTAATATCAACTTTCTTTTAAATTGTTATGGTAAAATATTGAATGCACGATGATGGGTTTTTTCTAGCTTAAAACAATTTGAGACGGGACAAAACAGTATCAGGACAAAAATAGTGTTGAGATGGAACCAAAGACAGTATGAGTATAAGGATGTCTGGTCCCATCCTTAATATATATTGCATGTCTTAAAAATATAAATATTTTTTAAAAGATTGAATATTAAAAAATATAAGATATTTTTAATTTTTTTAAAATATAATTAATATTATTTTTAAAAAGCGCCCCTATTGAATAAATAATTTTATATTTTTAAGATAAAACACTCTATTAAATAGAAATAAATATAAACAAATAGGATTAATTTAAAGACAAGCAACTATTTTATTAGAGAATGAAATCTGGTTAAAAATGCTTTACATTTTTAAACAAAAAGAGTATGTATTAATGTATATATATACTCCCTCTGTCCCTATATATAAGATTTTTTTAATCAAATTGTGAAGTTTTGTAGAGTCCAAACCATGAAAGAATTAAAATATTATTATTCCTTCTGAGTTAAAAAACACTTCATATAATATGTCTATTTATATCCCATAGACTAGCACAACCAACTAACAAACTAATAAACTAACAGTAATTATTTCTCACACCCCCTTCAAGTTTGGTACCATATAAATTTATGGTTTCCAACTTGTACAATATTCTTTCATGATGCTCTCTACTAAGAGCTTTAGTAAATATATCAGCTAATTGTTCTTTAGTCCTAACATGTTGTAAGACAATCAGACCTTGCTGCAATTTATCTCTAACAAAATGACAGTCTATTTTTATATGTTTAGTTCTCTTATGAAAAACTAGATTATTAGCGATATGAATCGCTGCTTGACCATCACAAAATACTTGGACTAGTTCAATACCACGTAACCCGAGATCTTTCAGCATCCTAGTGGCCCAAACAATTTATGTAACAGTTGATCCTAGTGCTCGGTATTCTACCTTTGCTGAAGATCTGGAAATAGTGTTCTATTTCTTTGTTTTCCAACAGATCAGCGAACCAACAAACTTCACCACATAGCTTGTGATTGACCTTCTTGTATCACCATAAATTCCCCAATCAAAGTCTACAAAACACTCCAAAGTATTTTCTTGAGATGTAGAAAGCAATATTTTCATTCCTGGACATCCTTTGAGGTATCTCACTACTCATACAGCAGCTTCCATGTGAGATTTTTGTAGAGCATTCATAAATTGGCTCAAATTCAACTTCCTTAATTGTAAATAAATTTTAGGGTACAGTTACCAGAATGTCCTTATTTTGTTGAAATTTAAACAATCATTTTAATTACTTTATATGATTATTTCTTTTTATTTTAAATATATTAATTTATTTATGACTGATTGAAGTATGATTTAAATCAAAATTTGACTACTGAATTATAAACCAATACCTCAATCGAGTTAATGGTGAGTCCAGTTCTTTTAACGTTGTTCCATGTTAGTGGGATGTGATCAGATCCGACACGTAAATATCTTGCTACGCTTGAAATGTCTTCCGCCTCTCCAATTTTCATCTTCTCAATAATGAACCCCCAACAAGATTTTCCATTCTTATCTTCTTTTTAAATTTAATTTCCGGCCAAATATCTAAGAACTTCAAACCAGTTTTTTTTTTTTTTTAAATTCGTTTGAACAACATCTAAATTTTTTAAGGTTATACTCCCATCAGTAAACTTATATGCAAGTCATTTTTAATTAAAAACTGAGTGATAGTTTAATTATCAATGTTATCTTAAAAAGATAGAAATTTCTCAATTTACTTTTTTTTTTAAATTATCATTTTTAAAAGGCAAACTTTACACTCGAATTTCAAATTATATTAAGAATTAACTATAGTTTTTAAAATTTACAAAACTTATTTATAAATAAATATGCTTTACGGTACTTATATGTTATTTTCTCTTATTTTAAATACATATTTTTTTGAACGGAAGTGGAATTTCACTGAAAGTACAGGAATTACATCGGTGGGCGGAACCCCAAAAGAATGGCTAACTAAAATTTTAAATATATATTAATTAAGATCATATGGATTCATCCATGACGTATGTTCAATAAACACCACAGAAATGAAATATCTAAATAGGAGGGGATATATATATATATATATATAGAAAGAATACAATAATTAGAGTCATTAATTAGGATCGAGCTCTCTTTTAAGCCTGAAAAAATTAAGGGTCGGGCTGCTATTTTAATCTTTAAAAAGGTAAATCGAGCTTAAAAGGGCTATTAATTAGGACTGAGCTCTCTTTTAAGCTCGAAAAATTTAAGAGCTAGGCTGCTATTTTAGTCTTTAAAAAGGTTAATCAAACTTAAAAAGGGCTGACCCTTTTAAACTCGAAAATAAAAGGGCCAGCCCTTTAGAGTCAAGACCGGCCCTTTTAAACCCTACTATTTTTTTTTTTGAAAAAAATAACATAAAAAAATAAACAAAAAGAAGACATCACATTACTCAAACTCAGCACTCACTTTCTAGTATAGACAATAGACACGCACATTATTATTCGCTTACTTTGAACATTTTTACATTCTTTAAATGCTTTAAAATTATTATTTTGGCTTATTATTTATTGCAAATAATGAGGATGAAGAAGGAAGATATGAAAAGCTTAACATATTTGCCATTAATGAGGATCCATAAGGAGAAGGATCAAATCATATTGATATTAATGATGATGAAAATCATCAAAATTTAGCTGATGATGTTACTAATGTGTAATTAATGTTGGAGTTAATTTTGGGATGTTATTTTTTTATTAGACTTAAAATTTTTGTCGTGTGAATTGATTTTATTTTATTTTTCTAGACTTAATGTGATGTGTAATGACTTTATTAAGATTCTAAATATTTTTTAATTTTTAAATTGAAAAATTAAAAAAAATTGGGGTTGAGGCCTTGAGGGTGTTAGCGGTACCAGCGGCATAGAGGCGAACGATGAGCTGCTTAAGTCGTGCCTGGAAGGATACTGTCCTTAAAAATTATTCCGACACACCTAGACGACAGATCATCAGTTCTCCAGGATTAAACAAGTACTTCCTGCGGAGCAAAGAAATAGAACAACAAAAACTAAAAAGCAAACTCATATGAACACGAGAGCAGAAGGCAGAGGGAGGAGAGAATTGCCCTGAAAACTCAAGAGGCTGGTCGAGTTTATCTGTCCGCACCCATAGCTATATATAGCCTGAAGATGGAGACATGAACGTTGGCTTATAATCACCAGATTAATGCTTCAGTTACATACATATAAAACACCATTAATCTAAAGACGTTGGCACAAAAATGTTTAAGACGTTAACTCACAAAATCGGTTTTCAGAAGTGGTTTAATGCCTAAAAAACTACCAAGGCTTCAAATTCAAATTCAAAACAGCAAAATTAGAGGTTTTGGGGTAAGCTAAAATAATTATTTTAATTATTTTTCTAAAAATATTCTGGTAAAAGAAACCCAATGCCTCTTGAACTTACGTGCAAGGGGGTGAATCGATTGATTTCATGATACTTTTTTATAAATTCTCTTCTATAGAATCTTGGTGTAATTTCCTTATACTCCCTCCATTTTTTATCGCCGTAGAAACTACTATTTTTGACTTGTATGTTTCTGTAAGAAAAATCACTCATTGTAATAAACATTTATTATACATTTTTTAGATCACTCTTTATAATTTACATTAACGAAAAAATAATTAATATACACTTATGTTGATTAACACATGACATTTTAGTCCACTTTTTATTTTTAAGTATAATTATTATAATTAATTGACTTTTTTAAACTGTGTATATAGTTATTTTCTCTCTCTCTCTCTCTCTCTCTCTCTATATATATATATATATATAGAGGGAGGGAGTGTTATTTTGCAACAAGGTTGGATAGCTAGTTTAGCTACGATCAGTCAGTTATATTGTCGGATATACATACTGATCAATAGGAAGAGAAGCTTATCAAAGTAGAATCACACGTGACATGAAATTCCTTTCAACAGAGGCTGCAAAGCAATAGTAGAACATATACCATACATACACTAATAACTATTATTACAAAAATCTTATTCTCGCATAATCTAATTATTAAGGTATTAGAAATTAAAGGACATTCAATAGGAAACATTAGAGGGCCCACAAACCATGCAAGTGTAACTACAGCAAAGCTGCTTGCTTATTCCTTCAAGCAGAATGAGATTGCAATTCCAGAGAAAGTCGTCCGAGCAGTAGTAGATTGATAAAACCAGACTTCAAAATATGGAGTACTGAATGCTTGCAGCTGTATTTGCATCCCACAGATAAAACATATTGAACAATGGACAATGAAAAATGGGATCAGTTAAGAAGTAAAGTTTATTAATTAAATTAAAGAAAATAGTAGTTTAAAAAGAGAGATTATCACAATTAATCTACTACCTCAACAGCGATTTGTTCCCAATATTTCACGGAAGCTCCTGAACTTGAGAGCCACAGCAACATAAAGTTGATCCTTCAGATAGTCAAACCATCGGAAAAATTTGTGTCTCCATTCTCTGATGAGGAAGAGAGAACCACAGAATGCCCAGAAGCCAGTTGCGAATCCAACTCCCATTCCAAGATATAGTGATTTCAAAAAGTCGTCATCTTCATTTCCTTCAGCGGGTTTTGAGTGGAAGGTTTCTTCTTTCTTGTTGCACCTCTTTGGAAGAGGATCTCCGCAGAGGTTAAGATTGCCAACAAAACTCCAGGGATCAAAACTCTGAATTTGGGTTCCCATTAGAATTTGTCCATACAAGTTATTGTATGATAGGTTCAACCAACTGAGAAAAGACAAATTTGAAATGGTGGAAGGAATTTCTCCAGAAAGTTTATTGTAACTAAGATCAAGAGACTCCAAATTTTTCATGCTTCCAATTTCTCTTGGAATTTTTCCAATCAAATGGTTCCGAGACAAGTTCAAGGACCACATTTGGTTCATACTAAACAATTCTTTAGGAATTTCTCCAGACAAGCTGTTGTTGGAAAGATCAACTTGCCGCAACAACCAAATTCTTTTATAATCTAATTCTCTTCCTTTAGTATACATGTTTAGAATTTCTGCCCTCAATTCTTGATGAATTGAACCCATGATGTTATATAGGCAATGAGGTATGGATCCAGAAAGCTTGTTATCAGCGAGATCCAGTATCGTAAGAGAAGAGAGGTTGCACAGTTGTACTGGAATCTCGCCAATAAATTGGTTGGCCTTCAATTTCATGACTACCAGACTTAGAGGCAGGGTAGGAGGCAAACTTCCAGAAAACTCATTTCCCTCTAGAAGGAGGTATTGCAAATTTGTCCAGCTTGACAGGTCTATTGAAAATTTGCCGAAGAAACTGTTATCACTCAAATCCAATGTCCCAAGATTCAATAAGGCCATGGAAGGAGGAACCATACCAGTTAGCTTATTACTCTGCAAGTCAATGTAATCTAGTTGTTTCCAATTCGCCCAACAATCAGGAAGCACCCCAGTTAAATTATTGTATGATAAGTCCAAAGTAAACAACATGTTTTCCCCATTATTCTGTGGATGGCACAATAATAGAAAAATAGATCCTGAAAAGGAGTTGTGAGATGCCCGAAATTTGGAGACATTTGCTGATATATGTGGGAGACCTCCTGTGAAATTATTATAGTCTAACTGTATGTGTTTTGCGTAGATTGTCACGTTGGATATGTCTCCACCGATCATGTTGTTTGATAGATCGACATCAGGAATTCTTGCTGCAAATCTCCAAAATACATTTGGATCGATGGTTGAAATCTTTGATACAGAAATGTCAAGTTCATTCAGTGACACCTGTGTATACAGCCATGTTGGAAGATTGGGACCAAAACTTGTATTACGCGAAGAGAAATATTGAAGCTGAAATGGTGGAACCCATTTGGATCAAAATCAAATTTGAAACCACTTGAACTCAAGTCTAGGAATGTCAAGTTTGAGAGTTTGGTAAAATTCTTTTCTGAAAGAACTCCTACCCAAGAATTGCCGCCAATGCCTAAATATTTTAAGTTATGGAGTTGTCCAAGGGTTTCGGGAAGATTTCTACTGAAATGATTGTCAGACAAATCTAAGGAAATTAAGGAAGAGAGATTTCCAAGACATGATGGAATAGAACCATTGAACAAATTACGAGAGATATAAAAATGCTCCAACTGTTCATGTTGGCAAAACCAATCTGGAATTGATCCTTTGAGGTTATTATATCTCAATCCTAAATATTTAAGGTTTGGAAGCTTGAACAAGTTCATCGGTATTTGACCGTAGAAATTGTTGAAAGAAAGGTCAAGATCAGATAGTTGATGAGTGGAGTTAAAGAGTGAATTAGGTAACTCTATGTTGAGCAAGTTGTAAGATAGATCAAGAGTTACCAGTGATGTAAAATTGACGTAGTTGTTGAGGGACGGAAAATTTCTCAAGCCACAGCTACTCAAGCGTAACTTAGAAAGTGAAGGCATCAAAGAGATATTTTGGAGCCAGTTGGTTTCGTTTTCGACATTAGTGTCACGAAGGTTAAGATATTTTAAGGAAGATAGTGGACAGAGCTAGTGAGGATCATTTATTCGCAAATCATAATCATATGAAAAGTCAAGGTAAAGTAGAGCAGAAGAATTGGAGACTTGGCGTTGAGGAACACTCACAGATTCAAATCGATTAAAGCTCAAGTCCAAGTAGTAGAGAAATTCAAGTTGAAACAGACACGGATTAATCTCACCTTGTAATCCATGATTGGCTAGATCAAGCTCCACGACTCTGCTATTGATATCACACACAACTCCAAACCACAAACAACAATTGTTAAGATACGTCAAAGATACGATGCGATATTGTATAGTAAATATAGGAATATTTATATATGGAGATACCGAGCTATTAGTTGTTTTGACCGAGATTATCGTGATGCTGCGACATTTACGTGATCTCAGTGTGTGTGTGTATATTTACGCTGCTACACTAAATGATATGAATCAGTTTTTGCCTTTGAATTTATTATGGTATCAGAGCAACAGGTTCACTAAGATACGTAAGCTTAGGGTTCTGAGCTGCAACCATAAAACTTCTACAAAGAGCTTAGGGTTCTGAGCTGCAAACATGAGTACCGAACAACCTGTCAACAAGAGTGAAGCCATGGATGTGCTGTCACCTTACTTCATCCACGCTTTTGACAGTCCAGGGCACATTTATGTTGGAGAACTTCTACATGAAAGTAACTATGGTGAGTGGGTTAACGACATAAGCAATGCCTTGTTTGCAAAAAATAAGATTGGGTTCGTTGATGGAACGCTTCCCATGTCGGGGGTGGATTCACCAAATCTGAGTCACTGGATGCGCTGTGATGCCATGATGAAAGGATGGCTCAAAAGCATGATAGACAAAGAGATAAGAAGCAGCGTTAGATATGCTAAGACGGCATGAGAAATATGGGTTGATCTCGAGGAGAGGTTCGGTAAGGGCAATGCACCGAGAGCCTATGAGTTGCGTAGGGCCATAGCACACATGCGACAAGACAAACAAACCGTACCAGCATTCTTTACCAAGTTGAAAGGGTACTGGGACGAGATTGAGTCCATTGCACCATGGTCGAAATGCTCCTGCGGTAGGTGCAAGTGTGACATGCAGAAGCAGCTGATGGAAATGAAGGAAAGAGAGCACTTGTATGATTTTCTCATGACGCTGGAAGACACTTATGCAACCATCAAGACTCAGATATTGAGTATGAGGCCTTTACCAAAATTGAGAGTGGCATACCACCTAGTAGCTAAGGACGAACAGCAAAAGAACATCTCTGCGAGCCACAAACCGATGACAGAGGTGGCCGCTTTTCAGGTCCACAATGATCGCAGTGAGCGTAAAAGGGACAGACCTCGGTGCAATCACCGCAATAAATTGGGACACACAAAAGAAAAATGTTATGATCTCGTTGGCTATCCAAGTGATTGGAAGAAGTCCAGTCGGGAACGGCGTGACAAGAGACCTGCACCAAAGGCAGCCCAGGTCAGTGGAGAAACGAACCATGTACCTGGTCTCACAACGGAGCAATTCAACAAGCTTCTACAGTGCTTAAATTTGGAGGCAAATGAAAACAAGACAGCGTCTCAAATTCAACCAGTTGCAAACATGTCAGGTAACAGTTGCGATAATGGACCATGGATAATTGACACAGGTGCTTCGATATATATAACTTGTAACAAAGAACACTTGACAGCTTTGAATCTTTCTCGCTCACCACCGGTGAAAATACCAAATGGACAGGCCATACCCGTCAAAGGCATAGGAAGCGTGGTGCTCTCTCCAAAAATGAGGATTGATGATGTTTTATATATACCTGAATTTAAATGTTGCTTATTTTCGGTTAGCAAATTCACCAAGGACTACAATTGTGCTGTAATATTTCTTGCTGATTTTTGTGTGATCTAGGACTTGAATACGAGGAGCCTGATTGGAGTGGGTAAGTGCAAAGATGGATTATACTACTTGAAACCAATGCAGCAAGGGGGGGTGGCACTGGCAGTTCAAAGTGGTGCAGAACGTGATCTATGGCATAACAGACTGGGTCATGCGTCCTTTGAGAAATTAAAGCAAATCTCTTTTTGTTCTCATTTATTCAAGAATAAAGTTGATGACTATTGTGATTCCTGTATTCGCGCCAAACAAACGCGCTTGCCTTTTGGCAAAAGTTCAATAAAATCGAGCTCCTGTTTTAATTTAATCCACTGTGACATTGGGGGTGGTTATAGAACATCCACCATTTCTGGGGCTCATTATTTTCTAACGATTGTTGATGACTACAGCAGAAGTGTCTGGGTATATTTAATGAAGCGAAAGTCTGATGTTAGCCATTTTCTACCATTATTCATAAGGATGGTGGAAACTCAATATAATAAGAAGATCAAGAAAATACGGGCAGACAATGGATCTGAATTTCAATCTGGTATGATGAGAGCTCTCTATAAGGAATGAGGCATTTTGCTTCAAACGACGTGCATTTACACACCGCAGCAAAATGGTGTGGTCGAGAGGAAACATCGTCACATCTTAGAAACAGCACGGGCACTACGTTTCCAAGCCAGTCTACTAGTCAAATTTTGGGGAGAATGCGTACTCACTGCCGTCTATGTTATTAATCGTCTCCCATCCACGGCTCTTGGAAACAAAACACCCTATGAATTGTTATTTAATAAGAAACCCACCTATGCTCATATGAAGGTTCTTGGGTGCTTGGCATATGCATGTCAGGTTTCCTGTAATGACAAGTTAGGAGAAAGAGGCCGTGCATGTGTGTTTTTGAGGTACCCACATGATCAGAAGGGGTATCTCCTATATGATACAGCAGCATGTGAATTTTTGGTGTCTCGGGACGTGCGTTTCATGGAACATGTCTTCCCATTTGCTTCGGTTCACTCATCACCTGCCAACCACGTGGACCCACGTCCCTTACAAACCCTGCCTGCATATGATGACTTGGAAGTTTATCAGGCTTTGCATGCTGAACCTCATCGCCCAAATTCTCACATTGCACCCATGCTGCATAATGAGCCAGCTCCACCTCCAGTTTCTATAGCCGGTGATTCGAATGCACCCTTTCGCCGAAGCTCCCGTGCTCGCACTCAGCCTAGCCACTTGTGAGACTTCACTCTCGATTTGCTGCCATCCATCGTACCCCCTGCTCAATCAGATTGCACTATCCCTCCATCAGGCAACTCGGTTAGGTATCCCATCTCTCAGTTCATTACCTATGATCGGTTTTCTCCTTCTCACAAAGCTTTCTTAGCAGCCATCGCTACTCACGATGAGCCCAAACACTATTTTCAGGCTTGCAAACATGCACATTGGTGTGATGTAATGAAGAGAGAAATTGCTGCTCTTGAAGCTAACGGCACGTGGGACTTAGTGCCCTTACCTCGGGGCAAGCATGCCATTGATTCCAAATGGGTTTTTAAAACTAAATACCTTCCTTGTGGCAAAGTGGAACACTATAAAGCACGTCTCGTTGCTCGTGGTTTTACCCAGGTCGAAGGTCTCGACTTCCATGAAACTTTCGCTCCTGTGGCTAAGCTGGTTACTGTTCGTTGCTTGTTAGCTATGGCGGCAAAGAAACTTTGGATGGTCTGCCAACTAGATGTCGCATTTCTTCATGATGAACTTGATGAGGAAGTTTACATGCGCATTCCTTAAGGGTTCGCTCATGAGGGGGAGACTCGTGTATGCCGCCTAAAGAAATCCCTCTATGGTCTGCGACAGGCATCACGCAACTGGTATCACAAATTTACGTAAGCATTACTTACCATTGGCTATTCACAAAGCAAGGCGGATCATTCT